GCCCACCAATGCTCCAAGGCTTAAAGTTGACCAGTCTCCTCCTGGTAAAATTTGCAACTTATGTAACATAGCTGTAAATCAGAATCAACTCTACAGTAGTTATTATTGCTCCGGGAAAATACACTGCAAAAGATCATTTTAAAATGTTAAAGAACAGGGATATCACTCTGAGGGTTGTTGGACCCAAGCTGTGATATTTTCAATCACCTCATATGCATTCTCAAGTTGGACAACAGATAAAAACCAAAGAATTGATGTCTCTGAATCGTAATGTTGGCAAAGAATACTGAATATACCATGAACTACCAAAAGAACACATGTGTCTTGGAAGAAGAACAGCCAGAATTCTCCTTAAACAGGAGAGTGAGATCCCATCTCATTTACTATTGACATCATGTCCCAGTATGTGAAAAAGACATCATGCAGGGTAGAGTCCATCACAAAAAGAGGAAAATCTTCAAGATTTTTTTGCTTGGTCCAGACAAGGCTATAAAATGTAAATTTACTTAGGAATCTATGTGTTGATTTTTTTTCTCCCTTGAAAATGAAAGCATGTCAGGTTCGGATGGGAAAGTCACTGTTGCCCTGGGGGCTGCAACAATGAGCTCGTGCACAACACAAAGTGAGGACAGGGTTGTGTTTCATTCTGTTGTACACAGGGCCACTCTGAGCCACTACTGACCAGATAGCATCTAGTATTTTTAGGGAAGAAAAAAATGCAGAAATTAGTATTTACATGTTCCAATTTTCATAACATACATACTATGTATGTCTTACATGTACATTATAAATTATGCTAAAATGCAGAAAGGGCACACAAGTCAGACTGTAAAACTGATTATTTTAGGGGAGATGTGAAAGAAGATAATAGGAAATTAAATCAAAAAAAGCAAAGGACCATATAAAACAAAGGGTCCTAAAATAAGATCTATACAACGTTTCTACGCTATGTGTTTTTGTTGGGATATGTGTATACACATATTTGAAAGTAACCTAAAATGTTATTAATTCTTAAAAGTAGATCCGTTTTTCAAGTGATGGTTTTACTTTTTTTCTTACATAAATGAACATCAACACTGAATTCAACGTACAGAGTCCCAAAAATTAAGAAAACATAAATAGCATACATCCATCTGCAAGGGAAAACAAAAATTTTTAAAACTTCAATTCAAACATTTAAACAAAAAACAAATTAGCTCACATTAAGCTAAATTTAAAAAAAAAAAACAGACTGTCCTCAAATCAGACTTGATTCCGAGGTTCCAGACCCCAAGCAAGGTTCTAGTTCCCATGCCCTTCAATTTCTTGGTGAGGCCATTAGGCTGGCTCCCTTACGTTGAGCAAATACTGCTGATGTAAATTCAAAATCTGAATCCTCGAAAAACACTATTTTCCAAAATATCTTTTCCAGCAGCTCTTGTGGAATCTATAGCAGACATCTCTTTGTATCTCAGTAGCCTGACTGTGGTTAAAGGTCTATCTTTGAATCATTCTCTGTGAATATAATGGGACCAGCTAAATGTGACTGGGCCAACCCCACAGCTGGGTGTGCAACACTCAAACCATATGCGATAATGAGGGGGTGTTAGTTATTAAAATAAAAGGTAGGTGGGTGATAGAAAATTAAAGAGTCATATACATATATCCAATAAATATAGTAAAGTGCTCAATCCCCCTATTAATCAAAGAAATATAACACGATTTGTCATCTAACAGCAAACAAGGAAAATATCATTAGTGTTTGTGCACATAAAAGTTTTAACCAAGAACTGATTTTTTTTTTCACCAAGAACTTTATAATCTGAAACATTGCTAATTCCTAACAGACTCAAGTGTGTCAGAGATGATGATGATGGCATCATAGAGTCGACATGAGTTGTACTCAATGGCACCCAATGACAACCACCACTATGAAGAAAAAATAAACTAGGAATAGGAAAATTTAAATCCAAGTTGCCAACCCAACCTGACACTTTCAAGTGACATTTTCAAGGGAGAAAAAAAAGCAACACATTAAAAAAATTTAAAAAAAAAGATTCCTAGGTGAATTTATAGCCTCTAGTTTGGACTCTGTACATCTGCCTTTATCTACCCTCTTTTCAGAAATCCAAGCAAAACCTACATTGCAGTCTTTAGCTGATTATCTCTGGCAGAGCTAGAGTCACAACCAGTGAAATGTCTTTTGAAAACAGATTTAATATTTTTACCCCTATATCTACTTAGAAACCATACAAAAGGGACAAAAACCTTCTTTGGTGAAAACAGGCCCAATGAACAGAATAATACTTGAATACTGAGAAGACCTACTGTCTACAGTAGAATGGTAAAAAAAATGAGAATGGTAAAAAAATGACAGACTAATGTGTATTTAAAGGTATTATGAATAAAAGTCCCTACACCATCTCACAATAAGCTAATTACCAGTGTAAGGACCCTCCTATGAGCTATGGGCCAAAACCACACTTAGTACACAGAATTCTGTGTATTTCTTGGATATGTTAACTACAATGATCAAAAGTAAGCCCAGTTCCACTATATTCAGACATGCTCAATACTAAGTGTGAGTCTATAGACAGCAATTAAGTATTTGAAAACATTCCCCAGTTTTCAATTTCAAAGGCTTTAAATTTTTTTTAAATGTCCAATTACAAATAGAATCTCCTGCCTTTTCATCTTTTTTCTAGTTCAGGACCCACTTCACCTTTGTTGTTATGGCTGTTAGGAGCCATCAAGTCGACTATGACTCTTAGTGCCCTATCAACACCAGATGGAAACCCTGCTCTATCCTGCACCACCCTCATGATCTTCTGCCTACACAAGCTTAATGTCTTCTTCCAAAGACTTGCTCCTCCTGATAATATGCTCAAAGTGTGTGAGATGAAGTTTCACCGTCCTTTCCTTTAAGAGGCACCTAGGTTGCACTTCCTCCAAGACAGAAACAGGGTCATTTTACATCCGTGAGATTTACTCTTTAACTAATAAACCCAAAATACTTATATCACATAAAGCAGCAGAGAGTGACAAACAAACAGGGTTACAACCTTAAACCTGCTGAGTTACCATAAACAGCTAATAACCTTTGTACTAAAAAAAAAAATAAAAAAATAAAAGAGTATGGATCAGAAGTAAAAATGGGTCAGGTTAAGAGCACAGGTCAGGAGTAAAAATGCAATAACTGGACGACTGTTCTGCCATTGACTAGCTCAGTGGTCTCTGGGAAGTTACCCAGCATATTCAGGTTTCAGGATCCTTACCTTTAAGATGGAGAATAATAAAAGTCCCGATTTCTTAACGTTGCTATGAAGCTTTATAAAATAAATTTAGAATAGTACCTGCCACCAAAGAAGAGTTTAATAGATGCTAATGAACTACTCTTAATGTAAACTTAGTAATTCTTTTGTTTAGTTCTATGCCAGTGTTTCCAGAACTCAAAACATTCTAACTGTTCTAATTTGTACCCATCAATAAAAAGCATTTTAACATTTTCCAAAGGTTAATGAAAAGAATTAAACTGTATATTACTAAAATGGCTGAATTTATGTATTACAAACTACCTTACTTAAAACTTCTGTATGAAATACTGTGCTTGCAAATAAATAGCAAAATGAAAGCTACATAAAATTTGAGTGACACTGTGTACAGGTTCCTTAGCTGATGAGCATAAGAGGGAAATATATCATACTTCCTACACAATTGCATCTAGGGAAAAGTTATTTATTAAAAAAAAAACTACGAAAAAAATTACAATGTAAGCCTATCAAACAATTAATTCTAAAGTTATATTCAAGTGACTTACATCTATCTAAATTTCAACAAAGACAGTAATCTATATACACAGGAAAACATTCTTATAGTTCAAGGAGCCAGAAGCAATACAGAAAAGTATCAATACAGATTCCAAATATATATACAAATCTAAAGTGTTAATGGAACACTAATAAATAAGAAGACATCTTGTTAGGTTCCTGCTCCAATATTATAATAGTATATATAGTAAAAATGTACAGAATGTATAAAAACTTTTAATCACATGTCATATAGGGTAGCAAATGTAAACCAAGTAGAATATGAAGTTTTCAAGTGATGGTGTACATTTCAAAAAGAACCGAACTTGCCATAAATCTCATTATTCATTTGTTGCAAAAGCGACCCACAGAAATGCTTATCAGCTCCATTTTTATAGTAGAGAATCAACTGCCCAGAATTTAGTATCAGAATCTTACTGGAGGGGAGGAAGAGCATTAATAGTGACCAGTCTTAAAGGATGATTTATTTTGTGGATTTTAAATATCAAAGCCCAATGTAAATTAAAGAACGTAAGAATTAAAAACATACAATATATATATAATAGCAAGAGGTTAGAAAACAGAATACTGTGGAAAAGATTTATTAGTCTGTACAAGTTGGGTTTGGTAAGCTATTGGCTACTTGTTACAGTGAATTATCAAGACTTTCATTACATAGTAGGCTCCCATAAACATCAAAATCTGGAAGACTTTCTCAAATTGTCATTTAGTGTTTATTTCTTAAAACATAGAAATAGGGGTTTCTATTAACTAGCCATTTACAAAGGTCAAAAGATATATTCATCAACATTGAAGTTACAACTGATGTACATGGACAGACACTACCAACATTTATGGAAAAAGGAAGTTGATTTTGACAGTTGTAAGAATTACATGAGTTACAATAAACACTTTTCATGTCCTTCTGAAACCAAAATGGAGGAAAACCTTTACCATCACTCTGCCAACCACGACTAAAAATGCGTGCAAAAGGGCCATGAATCCAATGTATTTACCACAGAATTAAAACCCTAGTTATTATGCAAGTGCATTATTCAATTATGTAAATTAAAAAGTAAGATCAAACTTCTTTAACATATTACTGCTAGTTTAGAAGCATCATCAGAACAAATAGATTTAATTATAAATTGGCTGGGGCTTTCTGTAATGAGACTCTTAATACTAAAACAGAATCTGTTGGCAAACATCCTAGAAAAGCATGCTCTTTGTTATTCCTGAATGGCAATTTGCCAGATTTGATGATCTAAGGATACTTCCTAGTATTTCTAGGAGTTCTAGATACCAAATAATTCAATAATTAATAGGAATATTTGAGGGGGAAAAAGGAGATCAAAAGCAGACTTTGTATCAACATATACTAAATAGATGTATTTTTAAAAAAGTACATGATAAATGTAAACCATAAAATCAAATGTACTTATTAAGGTACACCTATTTTATGTTACATAAAAAACTGTAGACTGCAGACTGCATGCTTGCTATATAACATGTTACCTGGGAAAGCCAATGAGTGGGATTTCCTGCAATTATTTATCGTCATGATATAAAACAAATATGTGCAAACTGCGAGGTCCCTAAAATAGCAGTTAAAGAGTTTATATACAGAAAGATGTCACTATCTGAGCAAATATGCAAGAGATGGAATTTCCCAGAGTTTATAACACAGAACAGTAACCACCACACGCGCCTCCTCCATGGCCTTCATCTCTGTGTGACAGTTTTACTCCTTTATTCTGGTTCTCACTTTCCCACAGTCCAGGGGTCTGAATGATCTTTTCAACTAGTTCTTCAAAGGCACATTGTACACCGTCACAGGTTTTTGCACTTGCCTCTGAAATTCAAGGAAAAGTATTAAGATATATTCTCACATTTTACTTTTTTCTGAAAAATTATTATGACAAAACTTATCAAGAGCCGAAACAAATATATTATGAGTGAAATAAACAATTTCTCCCTAAAAGTTTAGTATTAGGGAATCTCCACTCTCTAAAAGAGAGCTATTTAAATTATACTTTGTAATACTGATATACAAGCTATATTTATTTTTTTTACGATAGGATAATAAACTGTAGTGTCTTCTTCAAATATTGTTTCAGAATTTCCTTAATTTAAGTCTTAAAATTACTCTCTGATTAACACTATAATTTTAGAACAAGGAAATTAAAGCTCTGAAACCATTTCTGTCTGCCACAAAGTAAGCTCTATTGTGGGCTAGATAAAATAACCCACAACCATCAGAACAGTCCCAGTTCAAACTTACACTCATTAAACTCAAGTGAACATTCAGTACCATATTTCTCTACTGTATTCCTTTTTTCCCTCCAAGGAGATGACCATTTTAGTCTTTCATCTCACAATTTTTTCATCTATCTTAATTGATGAGCTAGTTAGATTGAGAAAAACAGATGCAATCTGACCATTTATCTAATCATTCCACTAAAATATTTTCTAACCTATCCACATCTATACTAGAGCAAGAGCCTATGGTAATGAAAGAAGAATTTCAGGCTGCTTTGAAGGACATGGCAAAAAATAAGGCTCCAGGAATAGATGGTATACCAATTGACATATTTCAGTGAACCAGATGCTGCCCTGGACATGCTCACCAAGTTGTGCCAAGAAATCTGGAGAACGACCACTTGGCCAACTGACTGGAAGAGATCAGTATTTGTTCCTATCCCAAAGAAAGGCGACTCAACCGAATGTGGAAACTACAGAACAATCTCACTGATTTCACATGCAAGCAAGATTTTATTGAAAATTATCCAAAAACGACTGGAACAGCACATCAACAGAGAACTACCAGAAGTCCAGGCTGGTTTCAGAAGGGGTCGTGG